ATATATAATAAGCTTCCATCCGTTTCGTTGCAATGTAAATTGAACCTTTAAACCGAAAATATACTGCTTTGATAAATTTGTCGTTAAGATAGTTGTAATAAGAAAATGACGATACGTAGCCCTTTCTTATGTTTACATCAGAGTAAGTTAAACTTATTCTACTATTCATCAATAAATGCCATACACAAAGGCAATAATTTTTTAAATTTATTTGTTTAATAATATTTACGAGGGGTGGCTGAAAAGTAAGTAATCTGCCAAAGTACGATCGACGACCATTGCTACTTTTTTCACTATGAAATGTACACAGAAATAGGAAATGTGCGTAATATAATTGTTATATAGGGATATTACTCTGTTAAAAAAATTTGTTGTTTTTGTCATCCGCCATTTTGTCAATTCTAAGCGTAAACGTAATAAACAAAAGAGTTGTAACTAATTTTGAAAAATGAACGAATAACAAATGCGTCACGTAGTGGCCTGCATTATTTTTGAATTGAAAATAGAGATTACTTTTCAGCCGGCTCTCGTATATCCCACTATGTTATGATCATAGATATACATATATTAAGTGATCATTGACCTATAATAATTGTGAAAACATGACGTAGCTATGTGCTTAATTTCTTAAATACCATAGTCAAAAAAAGTACAAAACAAAATTTTACGCGTCTTGCTTAATGACGTCCACATCTAATTCCCCGAATGCTCGTTCAACGACGTAAATGTCTATACTACAAAATTATGGTGTTTAGAATTACTTTTAATGTTGTTATAGAGTCGTCTCTTTGATTCGAGTTTACGTATCGATGGCTTTCTAGAATAGTGGCCTATCTCAAAAGTGTCTAATTCATCAAGATGGTTTAAAAAACACTGAAATATTATAATTATTACTCTAAAGATCGAACTCTAAGAAAAAAATCCTTCGATCCGTTCTTTGTATACATAATTATAACAAACCAGTGGAGTAATTTCAAAAAATAATTGAATATCTTGATGAAACACATTCAATAAAAACTGCCGCGCAAAATTGACATATCGTCGACCATCCCTACGTCGTCGTGTGATTATTTTAACAATTGAAAAGCTTTTTCAAAAATACCGACGTTTCGGGCCCTTTACAGGTCCCATGGTCATGGTGGACTGAGGTGGTACAGTCATCAACCAGTTATGTCTAATATTACATCCGGAAAAATAGTTTCATTTCCTATGTGTAACAATCGCGAAAACTTAAGAACTCGAATTGAAAAGCTATTAAATTCACTATAAAATGTAGCATTTTTTAAACAAATCTTAGTAAGAAGTAAAAAAATGAACTATTTTGGTTTGGGTCACTATTCATAAAAAACAGCGACATATTGGTATGTAAAAAAAGTTCTAAGAGGTTTATCTCATCATCAATAGTAATCTTTTACACGTCTCACGATTTAAGGGGCACAGGTCCCGTCTAAAGAGGTTTAGGATATGGTCTGCCCCGCTGGCCCAATACTGGTTGGCGGCTTGCTTGCTGCTAGACGTTCAGGGAATGAATATACTAGACTAAACGTTCAGGGAATAAATATACTAGACTAGACATTCGGAGAATTAGACGTCTTGAACCAAACCGATTTTATGTCAGGTAAGTACCTAATTCTAAGAATTTGTCACACACAATAATCCTATTTTATACAAGTTTAAAGTTACACACTTATTCTGCTGATATGACAGTTTTATTTCGTGACAATAACACACAAAAGGATGCTACCCGCTAACAGGAATGTTTATTAGATTAAGGAAAAAAATAACAACAAATAAAAAGAAAATGATTTTACAATTTACTTTTAAAAATATTTGTTAAAATGCGTTTATTTAATGATTTTTATTAAGTAAGTGATGCAATTTAAAATTAATTTCAAAGTTCAAATAAAATAGTAATAAATACAAATGATATGTAGCAATAAAAAAATAATATCAAGAAAATGTTGTTAAATGCAATAAAAAAAAACAAATCAGTCCATGGACGGATACTTTAAATCACAATTTAAAAAAGCAAATTTGAAAATAATTTGAAAGTACTATGAATAAGTTATTATGCACTAAAAGAATTGTCATACAAAAAATACATACACATCATGTATTCTTTGAATGGAGACGATAGAGATGTTAAAGCTAATACATTTCACGTCTATCCAACATTTAAAATGATATACTGAGATCACATCCTTATCTCTAATTATGCTGATTATTAATTTATAATCCAAATTAAAACATAGAATTTTACAAATTCCACAAAATAAATGGACGAATTTACAAAAAAAATCTACAAAATTATCTCGATTACATTTTTCTAACTGACAATGACTAGTTAGTCAAATGTTTTGCAATAAATTCCGTACAAAATACCAAAATAATAATTTATTTCATACAAGAGAAATAATTATCTAACCGACTAACAGAAGTTTCTGCAAAATATTCTAATTTTATTTATTATGATCATTCTCGTTCAATGAAAACGCCAGACCTTAAATGTTGAAAACTGTTTTGGATTCAAGATTTTTCTACAAAAATTATATTTTTTAGTTATCGATCATCAACCGATTTATGTACATCCGACTGCCGGACACAGGTCTCCTCTCAGGCGAGGGTTTTCCGAGGGTTGTGAATCTTCTTCCACGTGCAGGTTTTATCACGATGTATTAAAATGTCATGGTAAATTTCAAATTAAATTTCGCAGTCAAATTCCGAGAAACTCAGAACCGACGTGCGCGACGGCCTCCATTTGAGAAGCTGATGGTCCAAACCATTAAACTCCCGCGGCTTTTAGTAGTAACCAAACAGTTACACGAAGTGTACATTAAAATCAAATTTGTGATAAGTATTCTATAAAATCAATATTAAAGCTGGAAAAAATCCCCTTCTTTGAACGAGAATGAACTTTGAAAAAATTCTTATATTACGTCACGATACAGTTCGTAATACAGTTAAAAATTAATTATGTAATCTAAAATGATTATTCTTGAAAACAGTAATAGTCTAAAATAATGCAACTAGTAAAGAAACACACGAGTGTATAAAAAAAAAAGACAACGTAACGTCGGTATTATCACAACATTAACTTCTATATACAAGGATATAACATTAACACAATTATCATAAATTAATCGTTAGTTAAATTCACATCGATGGTTTTAAAATAATTATCATTTCCAATTACACTTTAGTCCTAGATTAAGTAACGTTAAATCTTCACATTGTTTACACCTAGGTCAGGCCGAAAGCAGAAAAGTCATACAGTTTTTGAAACTGCCTTTGAAAGGTACAGTCAAGGGAAAATCATGCTTGACACTTTGGACTTTGGATCGTTGTAATTATAAACGGCATAGAGTTGAATTTCAAAGTCAAGCTTGAGCTTGATGTGTTCTTGACTGTGTTTAATTTTAAAACCCATAAAATAAACGTTTTTTTATTTCTGAGCATAGATGTTAAATATTATGACAGGTGGAATAAATTTACTTGAATCACGAAAAGACAATGTCAGATTGTTTTGTCCGGGATAGGTAAATAGGCTGTTGATTTTAGATTCAGACAACAATGTACAGGGTCAAGAGTACGTTAAGCTTGACACTTAAGATATAAATTCAAGTCCATGCCGCTTTCGGTAAGAGCGGTCCAAAGTTCAAAGTGTCAAGTTTAATGTGCTCTTGACTGTACGTACTATTTGCCATATTAATAAGCCTCATAAAGGTAATTACATATTGCTGAAAACTTTTGCCTTCTATCGAAGTTGTACCATAGAGAAGTAGCAGAAGGTTTTTTACAAGTAACTAGGGGCCCGCAGTTCTTTGGAATTAACCATTTTAGAATAAGAATAAATTATTAGTAAGTACTGACATGTAGTTTCTGAACCGGTTTTAAACTTAATTATAATCTTATGACATCATGAAAGCAAAACTTGAGAGATCATTTTACTAATAGTGTTTAATGCAACGGGTATAAGTATGCAAAGTTATTCAAAAGCCTCCACACAAAAGTGACCAAAAGGTTAAGTAATCTAATTTGTTTTACAATAACAACTACTAGAAATCTCTTTTCGTTCAATATAATCTGTACTTAGATTACATATTTGATACTTTTAACTACACTATAATGATTCACGAAATCACAATTACTAAGTCCAGGATATACCAAAGTTTATATAGTGTTCACGAATGTTCATAGCTTGGTGTGTTTGACGGTGTCGGTCCAGTAGTTCTGAATGGTCATAGCTTCCAGGGAGTTTAGGAACGAATCGTTGTCCAGGCTGTACATCTCCTCTGAATTATCCTGGAAATGGTAAAACGAATTATTTAAGCATCTGTTGGCAAAACACGTTGACGACCTCTGTGTCGTAGTCTGTGTGGTAGGACCCAATAATAAAATGAACTTTTCTAAATTGGTTCTGGTTTGAGCGTTTTGGGAAATGCCCCAGAGTGAATTCCGTTGCTGTGGTACGCATATAGGAAAAGGATGAATTTGGTAACTTATTGTAATTTTTAGATTTTAATTTTGTGATTTTGGTTTTAATTTTCGTTTGGATTTTAACTTTTAGTTTTTCGATGATAATTTTATTTTTATTTTGAATTCTAAAGTGACTAATTTTAAAGTAATTAAATAATTTTATAATTTAAGAATACGGATCATAGTAATCTGATATTATATTATATTCATCATCATCATATGCCCCGAATGATTATTGTTTTGAAATTGAAATTTATGAACAGGCAGAATGTCAAAAACATCAAAATTCAGCACAATAGTATCCGCTTAAAGTGTCGAAACTTATACCTACTTAATTACCGGTGAATCAGAAATGACTAGCTACTTTCGACAGAAGGTACTAATAGTTATAATTATTACTACAAAGATTCAACACAAAGAAAAATTTCTTCGACCCGACAGGATTTCAACCAGCGACCACATTGAACCGTAGCGTTATCACTGCCATCTGAGCTACAGGTCGAGTTAGCAGGTTCGAAATTCTGTGGGTTTACTCCCGTTCTTTGGCCGACATCAGTCCGATACTGTGAAATGTTAAACTTCTCGAAAGACATCTTTGAAAACTATATCGGATAGAATAAGCTAGATCAAATACGAACGGCTCTCCGGGGAGCTGATGCCGCATTGTATTATTTACGAGTGCTGCAACCATCGCTTTTGGATAAATATTATGCCGTTTATCATCTATCTGATCTACATTCCAATAATAAATAACGCACACACTCGCACACACTCAACATAGCCCCGCACTAGGGAAACCCTGTGTCGCGGGTGCCATGGACACACACATAGACAACCACAAATTACACTCAAACTCACGAGAGAAATAAATGTAGGCCATACAAACATTTCTCCCGGCTCGGGAATCGAACCTGGGACCTCTACGTGGCAGTCCGGCATGGTAACCATTCGGCCATGAAGGCAGTTAAACCAGTGTTTGATAAGCTGCAAAACCAGTGTTTGTGGTCTACGTGGTGTGTATCTATTGCAAACTTTATGATCAAACAGTATGAATTAGATGGTGCAGAAAATAAATGTAAAAAATAAAAAAGGATTCAAATAAGATACCTACCCTGATTGTGCTATCGTCAAGATATCCACTGGAATCTGGATTCGAGCACTTGTCATTCAACGTTTGAGGCTTATTCAGGTACCTCCTCCTGTACAACACAAAGGCCGTGCTTCCAGCCAATGCCGCCAACACCAAAGCAGCGAACGATATCCCAGCAATAGCTCCCGTGTCCATACCGCCTTCGGAACTCTCAACTCGTCTATACAACTCTATATTTGGAGGTATCCTCGTCTGTAGATATGTCGTCTCCAGAGAAAGAGGCTTGTCAGTAACTATTCTGCTTTCCAAAGCACTTTCTATACTCGAGTCGTCTTTGACAAAATCTGGCCTCGTCAAGTTTCTTTTCTTTGTTGTATTTAACGTTTCTGTTGGGTTAACAGTCGTTACGGCTTCGGTTGTGTTTATGTTTGTAACATTATTGATTTTTGGTGGTTCTTGATAAATTTTGGTTAAGTTCATATCTGTGGTTTCAACTGCTGTCCATTGTGTTGCGTTAAGGACAGCTTCTGCGACTGAATCGTTCTTTGAGATGACCTCTAGAAAATTTTCTTCGGTGACGTTAAGTGGCGGAGGCCTGGCACTAGTTGAGGCTGGCTTGGGGAAGTACATCGCCCTACTTTGCCTCTCTGAATGTTTCTCTCCTAAGTCGGTCGTGATGTATTGAAGCTCTTCTGATTGGGGTTGAGGTACAGCTGCAGTCTGGCCACCGCTTGCTGGAATAGGAAGAGAAAAACAAATGAGTATCTAGGACCAAGATACTTGTAAAAGATAGGACGGAACACGACTGTAACTTTACAGTTTTTAAACAACACGAATTGAATAAAGATTTGTTGATTGTAGCCTGTAAAAAATATACGGTGAAATTAATTTAAAAGACAATGTCAGTACGGGTTTGATATTTCAATTTAAAAATGTTCTATTACGCTGGTATTGAGAACAAACGATAACTGCAAATAACTAACGCATTTGCATTTTGGTAACTTTCGAGATGTTGGCTAAATGTCAATTACGCTGATTTTGTTTAACAATAAAACTGAAACTAAATAAGATATTAAAAAAACCGCTTATCGGGGGGTAGTACATAGATCTCTATGTACTTATGGAAACATACCAGTGTTATCCTATTATATGGGATCCTAAACATCGTGACTATAAAGATAGAAATAAAGTACCATCTGCGTCTATTCCAATGTCTCTAAATAAGTTTTTTTCTCGAATTAACAAAAAATTGTAATATGCTATAGCACATAATGCTGCAGCAACAGACGTTTCTAACGCATCCATCTTGTATGACTACCGAATAACAACTGTGCGGGCGAGAATGTGGAGAGCCACTCTCGGTCTCGTCCTGTCTCGGCGAGACCCCAGACCGAGATGTCTCGCCGAGAATGTAGAGTGCAATTAACTTTTTAATTGAAAGCAGTCAAAAAGAGATAAATTTTAAGCATCTTCTCGTATGTATATTATGCTTGAATGACGACATTGTTATTTCTAACAATGTACAGTACTATGCTGGGATGAAATGATAGCATTAACATTAATGAAATGTAAATAATTTACACACCCAACGGCGAAGGATTATAAATAAAAACAGACGCAATTTTCTCGCTATACGAATTTACTAAGTGTTTATGGCTTCCAACTTTTCTCATCACAATTGGGTTTACAACTTTCCTCTTCTGGACGGAGGGCTTGCGTAATAAATCTTGGAAAGATTGATAAATAAATGTTATTACCAAAGTGTGGTGTAATAGTGAAAAGATAAAAGTGTCAAATTACATGTCGAGATCGAATAAAGGCTGTTTCATGTTAAACCGTGCCGGGGCCTGGCCGTGCTTCTGTCGTGCGCCGGCCGTAACACGGTACTTTTGTATGAGGTTCAAGTTACACCGTGCCGAGTGTTTTCACAAATAAATGAATTATTATTATTATTATTATTATTACTATAGTCCGTGTCACGGCCGAGACAGGGCGGTCGGGACACGGCGTCGAGTATTTTTTCCCGGGTCCAAACCGGCACATCGTAACATGAATGCATTCGCCGGGCACCTGGAAGGTAGTCAACTTTGGACTGTAGTGGACAGCGCAAACGCAAAATAAACGACGAAAAATTATTAGATATGTGCGCATGTAAACTGACTAATCCGAAGTATTTGGATAAAAAAAAATAGTTTGGGAAACAATATCAGCCCGGCCGGCGCATGGTGGAAACGACATGGCACGACGAGGGCGCGTGTCCACGCTAAGAAAAGTCTCCGGCTCTATGCGAGAATTCGTGTCGTTTATAGGGATGAAACGATACCACTGAAGTATCGATACTTTTACTCGATACTGTATCGGTCGTAAAGTATCGATACTTACTCGGTATCGATTGAAAAGTATCGATACTTTTATTGATGGTTTTTGTAAAATTTAGAATATAATAAACAAAAACAGTAAGAAGAATTGATATTCTTTTTTGATACGAAAATATGCCTTGAAAAGAATTCTATGAAAAAAGTCCGTTTTTGAAGTGCTTCTCAAAAATATTAGTTTTTCTAAATGTTTGCCTGTTAGACGATTCTTTTGGCCAACTGCAAGTTGTTTGTGATGTGACCAAAAATCGAAATCTTCGTTGGAGATTTCTTCTTCAGATCCACTGGTTGACATTGTGATATCTTCCTTAATAATGTTTTTTAATTTTTGTAGCGCCTCCCCACATCGATTTGCATCTTGGAAATGGAGGTTTTGAAATGTGCGTCAATTGTTCCCAACGCCGTGAGTGTGTTAAATTCAATGAGACCAAATCTTTTTTTTACATTCAGCCAGTAGTTTTGTTTGCAACTGAGTGACACATTTTATTGAAGATGAAAATTTCGTTAGCTGCGATGCGAGACAATTAATCATGGGTTTGATTTTGGATAAGGTAACGTAAGTCTGACCTGAAGATTCTCTTGTAACAAATTCGAACGGTTGTAACAATAGGACTACCTGTTTCAATTTTCAATTTCCTGTCCAGTTATCAATTCAGGACTATTTGTAGAATCGAGTAAACGTTGCGAAGCAATTTTTGACATATCTAGAAATCTATCAACCATGATAGTATAGTGAATTCCAGCACGTGTTAACGTCAAGAATATTTTTTTTAATGCATCTCTCAGGAGTTCCACTATCAATCTTTAACGCGAAGGATGCGTTCAAAAATTTTAACATAAAAAAAAATCAGCATGGATGGTTATGAACATATTATCTATCCATCAATGTATTAAAATGAAATCGTGACGTGACATTGGCATACCGATACGATCATTCGATACGAGCACATTTGACCGATACTTACTTAATACTTGATTTTAAAGTATTGAAACTTAAAGTATTTGCTATCGGAAGGAATGTATCGAGTAAATACTTGTATTTACTTGTATCGTTTCATCCCTAGTCGTTTCTACACACGAACTGTGTACACTGCCTCGGCGGCGGACAAGAAAAAGATCTTGTCTACTTCCGCCACGACGCGCTCTGCCGCTATTGTAAGGGGCGGAGGTGCATTGTTAGAAAACGAACGTTTATGCGCGTAGGCGGGTGTTGCTTAGTAGCTAACACATAAAAGAACATATTTCTTCCGTGGGTCGGTAGTCAAACGACAGCTATCTGGAAGACTCGTAATGAACTGACACATTTTATCCTACACACGTCTGTCCGAAAGCATTCGTATTCGTGTACATACTCATTATTTTCTCGTCGCAAAAGACACGACATGTTTTCGTGGCTAGATCCAACAAAGTTCTTGTCGTGTACAAGAGCATTTTCATGTTTTCTGTAGCAGGTACGTCGAATTTCTTAGCGTATACACGCGCCCTGACGGCCCGGCATCAGCTAGTTCTCTATAAAATGAATTTCATCGTTTACATCACCGCCGGTCACAACATTTGCAATACATCGATACACGCACATTAGTCTTTCAATGCCCGGTAGGTAAAGCCCCTACCCTGACAATTCAACCGCTAACAAAGGTACGAGGTAATAACTTAATCAACCATTGAAAATCGCACAATTTGTAAGTTGTCCTGGCGTTGTGTGCTTTTCATTGATGTGTATTTCATGTCACTGATTCGCTGGAATACACTAATGCGCTGCCTTGACATAGATGCCAATGACTGGTGAGAATAATAATACCATCAAGTTTTTATATTTTCCTGTGGTTTGGACAGCCAAGGGTATCTAATAAGCAATGACAAATGGGTTTTAATATCATCTCTTAGTGCATACATAGGGAATCATTTGTCATATTTATTTGTTGTGATTTGGTAATTTCCTCCAACTTAGTGGAGTCACAGGACGATGCTGATCTCCTTCATCATCATCCCAACTTATCATCATATTTTCTGGTTCCTCGCCATTTGTTTTTAAAATTTTAAATCGTTCTCGAATTCCTTTTCCTTACCCATTCTTAAGTTTGTTTTATACGTCGTCATTTCCATTAAAATTCTTGAAACAAGAAAACGTGCCCATAAATCACAAATAACCTTCATTTTCTTATAGTAAAACTTCACGTCTATTCAAATTATCTAGTTGTATATGCCCATTTGGGGTGAGGATTGTGTTATTTAGTTTTATAGGGGGTGTTTTGTAATATTTAACTGCCTCAGTGGCCAAACGGTTATCATGCTGGTCTGCCATGCAGAGGTTCCGAGTTCGATTCCCGGGCCGGGATAAATATTAGTATGGCCTACATTTATTTCTCTTATGAGTTTGGGTATAATTCTGTGGCTCTAGTGACAAGGGGTACAAGTTAAAAAAACCCAAACTTTACAAAGAGACTCGAGAAACAGTTAAAGCTTAATATGGTACTAAGCGTTAAGTGTCTTTCGTGTTTTCTTGTAAAGTTGACTTTTTTGACTTGTACCCTTTTTCACTAGAGCCACATAATTTATAGTTGTCTATGTGTGTGTCCATGGCAACCGCGACTCAGGATTTCCCCAGTGCGGGGCTACGAATGTGTGCGTTGTTATTATACAGTCTGATTATTATAATAACTGTACTTATTTTATATCATTTTATTATTTGTTACAGCCGAGCCTTCTGGGTTTCTCTAACACTAGACCACAATACCATAACATAGCAGGAGAAGTAATCTTTGGAAGAACATTAAATAACGCACACACTCAAAATAGCCCCGCACTAGGGAATCCCTGTGTCGCGGGTGCCATGGACACACATATGGACAACCACAAATTACTCACGGGAGAACTAAATGTAGATCAGACAAATATTTCTCGCATCCCAGGAATCGAACCCGGGGCCTCTGCGTGGCAGACAATCATGGTAACCGTTCAGCCACAGAGGCAGTTAAGTATATTGTAATTAGAAAGAATAATAACGATCTCACGTCTTTCACGAAGGTATCAAATTTTCCGTGAAATTTTTTCTTATAAAGCCACTGCGGGTATAAAACGGCAATAACAAGATTTATTTTACGGCTGCTGTATGAAACTTTGGGACATCAAAAATGGATTATCGTGTTGTTTCTCTATTTG